TTCTTCCAGTCCTGGGGTAGTCTCTTTTTCCTACCATCTCCCTGACTCTGATGCGCGGACCCCAATTTTGCCTCTATATCTAAGGCCTTCTTGCTGAAAGAGGCGAAGCTGTGCTGCTCGACATAGGCCTCATCTACCAACTTTGTCCTTACCTCTGAAGGTAGACATCTAAGGTGATCTGTGAGGAGTACCTGCTGGTCATAGCGCACACTAGGTACCACGAGCAGACGTTCTACGGTGTCCGTTAGCTCACGAACATTCTTGTACCTTCTGGCACATAGACTGTTGATTGCATCGGTGGCCTTTTGAGCCCCTTGAGGGTCATGCCACCTGTTGTACACGGACCATACAAACTCTTCCAATGTCTGGGCCTGGGCCCAGGCATCGAAATTCTGATTGTAGCCTTGCTGCTGCACTAGGCCATTCAACCAGCGAGCTGCTGACCCCTCTAGAAAGGAGGCAACCACTACAACTTCTTGCTCAGGTGTGGTAAGCTTGTGCCTCACATAAGTAGGCACCGTCCTTACCCAGGTATCCAAATCCTCATCCTTCTTCCTGTCACCGGAGAAGGGCTTAGGACTCAGCAAGGGTATTTTGGGCATCCACTGCATTGGCTGCATGGGCCCAGGGGCTTGCTGCAGTGGCTGCATAGCCACCGAAACAGGTTGTTGCACACTAACCTGGGCCTGACTTGATAGTGGGACTGTAGTAACCACTGTCGTCGATGGTACGACTGAGGCTCTATGAACCGGACCATTGGTTGCTACAAAACCACCTGGAGGGGGCATGCCAAACATAGGTGAGAATGGAGGCCCTATCGGCGGCAGCGTCACTGATGGACCCGCACCCGAAGGGGGAGCTACAACATACTGAGGCTGCCTCATCATGGGACGAGGAGCCTGCAGTGCAACCAAAATCTGCTTCTGGCGTGCCATTAGTTCAGTCAGCACTTCCTGCTGGACAGCCTGTGCTTCTGCCACACAAAGAAGCGAGCTACGCAACGCTCGTATCGTAGGTCAAGTGCTGACTCATCTAATGCTTCTAATCTGCCTAGCTCCTCTCTCCTACTTTCTAGTCTAGCTTTCCTCATGATTGCTTCTCTTCTCCTCTCTGTTGCCTCATCCAATTGCCGCTGTAGCTCATCATGAAGTTCTTCCGCTTGGAGGATTTCATAATCCTCCGACGTGAGTTGAGAGTCTGCTGGCTGACTCGCAAGCCAACACTCTAGCTAATGGACCCCTGAGAACCACTCTGACCAACTCCTGAGGAAGTGGCCTGTGAAGAAGCCTGCGACATGGTAGAGGAAGTAACCATGGTTGTACCGGTACTAGCTATAGTTCTAGACCTGGCGCTATCCTCAGCCACCCTCACTCTTCTTGCCGCTGCTCTCTCTCTAGCCTCTCTCTGCAGTCTCCTCTCGTCTCCTGGACCTAGCTCTAGGAAAGTCAAAGGTCGACTACGAGCAGTTCCACGAGTAGTCCTACGGTCGTCCACTAACAACTCCTCCTCATTAGTGCTTGCATCACTCATGAGCTACAGTGTGTGTGATCTAAACTAGAATCCACACTAAATCCTACCTTAGCCTGACACACAACCGAGTACAAATAACAACTAATTTCGGTCGGCCTGAACAGAAACAGTTAGGTGATGTAGTAACAACCAATGTCAGATCCTATAGGAAATATCACATCTATTTTTAGATTTCTCTAAAACAGATTGCAATGCAGCAAAGAACTAATCTGTCTGCAACTGTCTGTTAGTTGTTAGTCAAGTCTGTAACAACTAAATAGTCAAAAATAAAAATAATATCTTCGGTTGGAGATGTATACTGGATGGCAGATTGTCTATTGTTTGCCACTGTGAACAATTACCGGAATCCCCCCCTCCCCCTGTATCCTTCTTGAGTTGTCACTTTGTGTCAACGTCCTGAGCATCTGGTTGAGCAGCGTGTCTAAAGGTGTGCAATCCGGCCCACCCCTGTGCCCCAAGTCAACGCCGAACCTGCCAGCCCCTGCACATTATTTACCCTCGCATGCAATGAGCCTTACACCCGGTTTGATCTGGCTGATCAGGAGGCATTTAAGGAGATCCCCCGTAACTCCTCAGGAATTATTTAACGCCGCAGACAGGACGACGATCACAGCCAGAGTCAACACCGAGTCCCTGCCAGAAATATTTAGAGACGGTCTGGTAAGCGTCTGTTCAAAGGGCTGGCATGCCCTGCGTGACCTCTATTGCGCAAGCAGCAGAACCAAGGACTTGCGCCAAAGCATGCGTGTACTAGTCCCAGCGGGTTGGCATGGTGACCGTGACCCGAGTGCTTCATCCAGGGCCCTTCAGAGGCTTCGCCCGTCTCCCACCAGCTTGCTGCCCAGGAAGAATGTTGACTCTCAAGGTTGAGCGCTCGCGACACCTCACATCGAGAGGACTCTCAAGACAAGACTGACTTCCTCACGGTAAGAAGTAATGATGAGGGTAGATAAGGAAGATAGCAACGTACCTTATAATGCTGCCGCCAACCACATATTTCTCACCGGCAACCTGATGTGCATTTATGATGACCGGTCTTTGCCTTGGCACAACCAACAATAGAATGCAGTTCCACCTTGGCTTAAATGCCACATCAGCGAGCTCTCATTATCCAGCATACATCCCTAATGTCACCACATAGCTTCCTGGCGCGCCCACACGACCGTGGGCCGCCCTACGTTCAACGCCCAAGCCTTATCACTGCCCCACACCTCATGCGAAGCACCGAGCAGCTATTGCGACGAACCAATGAAGCCAATATGAACCAGCTCCGATACCAAATTGCAAGGAAAATGAGCAACAGCGAGATGACAAATCCAGATTACACAATCACATTGAAAGCCAGATAGTCACACCGTGTCCAGAGAGCAGCATTGCACCAATAATACACCAATGGAGGTTCGTAGTACTGAAAACCAATGTCAAGGAGAGCTTTCTCTCTTCGCCAACAACACAAGAGTCCAGTCCCTTCACACTCCTACTTGGCACTCAGCGCCCAACCTACTCCTACACAGCTACGATCAGCCTACTAATGCAACTGTTGACATCAGCGGCAACCCGAAGTACTTGAAGATGTTGCCCAAATGCAGACCATCGCCAATACAAGGTATGTGCCCTCACTTCATCATCATCATCATCCTTCACCCTTCACTGACTTTATACCCACGACCTCCTCCCTTACACCCGAAGACCACTCATGCGCCTCAGTGTAGTCCAAGCCCATCAGCTATGGTGGCTGGGCTACGGCGCTGCCCTCAGCAGCGCCCTTCTTCCCTGCACGACCGCACGTGCTGCACCTCGCCTCTCAGCGCCAGCAGCAGCCCACGAGCCTTTGCTCCAGCAGCGCTGCCGCTAGCATCCGAGTGCCTGAATGAGGCTGAGAGTGGCGAGCTCTTTCCTTTATGGAAAGAGCCTGTCTGCTTCGCAGCCTGGCTGGGTTGGGCCTGGGCCCAGAAGCTTCTGGTAGGCCTCTTCCGTTAAATTGATTGAATACTTGCTTGAGCAAACTTTTATCTACAGAATGAGAAGATTCATAATTTTGTTTTCATCATGAAAGAAAGGTGAATATCCAATAGGGAAAAAAA